GGAGTTTTTACAATTGTGAAGCATGGATTTGCAGGTTTCAAACCTTGATGTTCACATTTTTCACTTCACCGGGGCAGTGCCTGTGTCTTATTGGACCCGGGCCCTTCTCCCCCTCCCCTCGCGTCCCCTCGCGTCCACTCGCCATCTATTTACAATTTAAGTAATGACAGTTATTTGTTGTTGATTGTAACTCGTTGTTTTCTTGTTGATGATGTCTCATCACTATTATTGTTGTTGTTGTTGTCATCTCGGAAACACTGTCGAATATCGACCCAATTTTCATGAATTTCATTATTGTCTATTTTTCATTGTTCTCCTTTTATCACACTGCTTCTTTATTCATATTTGAGTGATAACAACAATAAATTTGACAAACTTATAAAACTCATCGTGCTTCCTTTCACACAACCAGCCGTACACGCATAAGCGGACAATTGATATCATCACATCACAATCAATCAGATTTTGGCTGATTTCGTTGTTTCCTAATAAGAGAATTTACATCCTATCATAAAATAGAGTTGAAAATAGAGTCAAAGGCACAGACAGATGCATGTACGTACGTATGTACTCATTCAGTTCAATTATGATTTCAACAACATTTTTTGTACTCAATGATAAATCTCGTTGGAATGAATTCTCAACAAGACACTAATTTAAAGCGATTCGTTTATTGTCAAGTGTTCTCGACGAGTATATCAAAGAAACCATGCACTAATAATTGTAGGAACACACAATGGACGCTGACCAACGACGTCCAACACATGCGGCGACCAGTGCGAATCGTAAACCGCGTTTCATTAGACCATGTATGTGATTGGTTTGTTACACAATCGGAATTGAATCGGTCACTGATTCGTTTCGAATCATGTTTGACTGAGACATGAGAGTTGCTTTATTAAAGACGAGAGTGGTCTACAAAGAGGAGATTCTATACTTGATGACTGAATTCATCTTCATGAAATTTCATTGGAAAATATGCATAAAAATCTATTATTATTGTGAGTGAATTTATTCAGAGCATGGATAAGCAGAAGGATGGGAATTCAAAAGAGAGAGTGAGATAATGTCTCATTGAAATGTGAAATAATTCGGTTGGATTACAGCCGATGATGATGTGCTTGCGGATGATCGCCATAAGGGTCCACTGGTACTAGAAGAGCGAGCAGCTGAATCAAGTGTTGAAGTAGATCTGGGATGTTCGATCGTTTACAACAATCCCTATGTGCTATTATCTATTCAGCAACAAAGATCAAGACTACCCATATTCAAGGTATTCATGCAGAATACCTACAGCAGTATTCATTCAAAGCGCACTTGATTGCACGAGTAATTGAATGCAAAATCAGTAATAGAACACAGAATAGTCAAAGAGAAGCCAAATGAAGACAAACAGAATCGAATTATAGATATTGAGAGATATAAACAAAAGGCGATTTCATCATTTCGCTAATCATAAATCAACGGATAAGAAAGATGACGAAACGAAGGGTGTTGCGTATCTATTGAACATACCCATTGCATAGGAACTGAATCGATGAACTGTATATCATCGTCATTTATCGTTGCTGGCTTTCAGAATCGTAATCATATTTTGTATCTGCTGGAGAAGTATCGAACGGTGATCATTGTCGGTGAGACAGGATGCGGGAAAAGCACTCAGATACCTCAGGTTCGCCAGAACGCTAGATGCGTCTTCACTTCTAATGCTAACCGCAATTTGGATTTCTTCATATTGCCCTAGTCACGATTCACGCATCCCCTTACGAGATCAAAGTGATGGATCCTTCCACGCTTAGATCCACTGAAGTTTTCCCTGTATTTTGATCGTTTTCATTAGCGATTCAGTGGAATCGACAATTTCTCGATCCTGAGGATATAGCTTAAGAATTTTCAATAGAGTATGAAAGCACTCAACGTTTTCAGTACCTCATGGAAGCGGGTTGGGCAGCAGATGG